TATGTTATCAGGTGTATCTGATTGTGTACAATAGGATTTTGAGCAAAGTTTTTACCATTAAATTAACCCTGTAATGCCAAATGTATCATATTTGATTCATACGGTTTCTGAAATGTTTTGCCTCTGACACCTTTTGCATAATTTAATGGTAAAAACTTTGCTCAAAATCCTATTGAACACAATCAGATACACCTGATAACAGGGGGCAGAAGACTACACAAAAATAATCTTGACCTATCGCATAGTGATAAATTATTAATATTAAAAATGTATTTCTGTTTTTTCTTTTTACATATTTTGTTAAAAGGGCAAATAAGGAATTCAAACCCAAAAAAAGTAAATTTCTGTTTCGTTTTATTCTAGGATCAGACTTTAAAAGGATAATAATTGATCACTATGCGATAAGTCCAGATTATTTTTTGTGTAGTCTTCTGCCCCCTGTTATCAGGTGTATCTGATTGTGTACAATAGGATTTTGAGCAAAGTTTTTACCATTAAATTATGCAAAAGGTGTCAGACGCAAAACATTTCAGAAACCATATGAATCAGATATGATACATTTGGCATGACAGGGTTAAATGTAAATAAAATAAGCAGAATAATGTGAGACTTTTGAGGTGTTTGTGAGGTAAATAGGAGGTGTGTGCGTCCACCTGATATGACCTCCAGCAGCAGCATGAGTTTGAGGCCATTTCTGAAGTCCTCTTCAATGTTCTCAATCTGTGTCCCGGCTTTCCTCAAGTGGGAGTTACACCAGGCTGTGAAGGTCTGGGGGGGGGACAGAGCAGGTAAAGGGTTAATAACTGTCCAGAAACAGGCCAAAATAGGTTTACAGAGGAGCTTCAGCCCTCCTAAAACATCCAAGATTTAGACCCTGTCTGTTTGGATCCAGAGGGAAGCAGATCTACTCAGTTTTGGGAACTTTTTAGGAAACATATACACGTTTTTCCAGAAGTAGAGCTCAGTTTGAAGCAAAAGGGCTCATCGGTTATCAGAGGAAAACGTCAGAAACCCTAAAGATTTTCTTAATCAGTGATTAAAGACCAGTTTGTGGAGCCAGAAATGAAGGAAAACAAGGAAAAATGAGGAAAACGGAAGCAGATCTACTCTGTTTTGGGAACTTTTGAGGAAAAATATACACGTTTTTCCAGAAGTAGAGCTCAGTTTGAAGCAAAATATCTCATCGGTTATGAGAGGAAAACGTCAGAAACCATAAAATTTGCTTAATCAGTGATTAAAGACCAGTTTGTGGAGCCAGAAATGAAGGAAAACAAGGAAAAATTAGGAAAACGAAAGCAGATCTACTCTGTTTTGGGAACTTTTTAGGAAAAATATACACGTTTTCCCCGAAGTACAGCTCAGTTTGAAGCAAAAGGGCTCATCGGTTATAAGAAGAAATAGTCAGAAACCCTAAAGATTTTCTTAATCAGTGATTAAAGACCAGTTTGTGGAGCCAGAAATTAAGAAAAACAAGGAAAAATGAGAAAAAACGTCAGAAATCCCAACGATTTGCTAAATTGGTGATTAAAGACGAGTTTATGGAGCCAGAAATGAAGGAAAACAAGGAAAAATGAGGAAAACGTCCAAAATCCCAAAGATTTTCTTCATCAGTGATTAAAGACGAGTTTAAGGAGCCAGAAATGAAGGAAAACAAGGAAAAATGAGGAAAACAGTGATTAAAGACGCGTTTTCGACTGAGTTTATGGAGCCAGAAATGACATATTTTGAGCAGAAAAATGAATAAAACACCAATAAATCTATGATGAACGCTGACATTGATCTGATCTGTAAAGGATTCCTGAGAATTACAGGAACTCTGAGAAAGCTCATCTTCAAACTGAGCGGAGGAAAAAGGATCTGGGCTCAAATCTGGAGGTCTGGAGCTCAAAGTCTCCATTTTAGGATCATTAAAAGCATCCAGACTAAGGAATTATGTATCAGACTGACCTCCAT